ATTATTCCTCAAAAATACAACTTGCCTAATAATTCTGCACTCCCTGTAGTCATAGATATTAAATGAACACAGAGTATATGACAGTAGTTTGTGATGTTGCTAGAGTAACAATTATGGTTCGGGGCTGCACTTTTATCTCCATGCATCTGCTAGAATAAGTTAAAAATTAATCATTTGTACCTGATCTCTTCAGACAGGCTAAAGCATCCAAGACATCCTGGAATCTCACCTTCCTTTTTAGTCGGAAAACCTGGTGCAATCATCTTAATAAGCAATTTAAAGGTATAATTACTTGCAACTTGCTCTCTGTTCGATTTCTAGGTCATCTCAGTTTTTTAACTTGATTACAGTACTTAAGCTTCTGCTCTGGAGATCTTGGACAGAGTTAATGGGGGAGGAAGTCTGTGCAACAGATGGTTTTCTGGGAAGCACAGACAATAAAGCAAATAAATGGCTTTTCTCTGACACGATCCTATCCCGACAATGACTAAATAAAATCCAATTAATTCAATTCAATTCAATTCAATTTTATTTATATAGCGCCAAATCACAACATAAGTCGCCTCAAGGCGCTTCATAGAGAGGTTCATCCTTTTCCCTAGATAGTAAAGACATACTTTCAAGTTAGACGCTTACGTTTTTGTTTTCAAGCAGACTCACTTCAAGTAACTAGTACAAAACAGGTGCAAAAATGAAGAAGTTCAAAAGTCATTTTTAGGAAAACAATGAAATATGCAGGAAAAAGACACCAACAGCTAATGGACTAAAATAAACTTCTGTTTTCTCATTAGATAAAATCAAAGATAAGGGCTACACGGTGTATTTGATTACTTATGTAGGCTCTGCAATGTATGACTCATGGGACTGTGACCACAAGAAATTGCATCGGATCCTTAACTTCAGTGATCTCATAACGCTGTTCATGTTGTAATGTTGCCACAGCAACTGGAAATAATTACAGACTCGTGCAACCATTCATGCCACTGTTGGAAACATCTGATCACAATTCACAGTGTCCAGAAAGCCTGGATGATTTCATCCTAAGATAGCTGAGGATACACAGGACATTTTCATGTGCTACGACAAGCCCTGTTTTCATGTTAATTACTTGGCCGAAATAAAAGGTTTCTACACTAAAAACTTCATTCTGTACTTTTTTAACAACTGAGTGGCAGAACAACTTGACCGCTTAATATCTAAATATTAAAATGTATTACCGAGCCTTATTTAGTTCTGCTTTGGCTTTGTTTATTCAATGGTTTGTTGTAAGTGGACTGGTAATGAGCTCTTGTGCTAAATCCACCCTAATCATGGGGTTAAAGGGAGTCTAAATTTACTGCAGTCCACCCAAAATGGTCCAAAAACATGTACCATTTAGTTCTTAGACCTGTCAAAATAGAAGGTTTGCTCTTGAAAGACAGCAAAGCAGAATAGGCTCCAGCATGGGTGGAAAGGGGGTATTATAAAGGCCCTTAGAGGACAGAAGCCTGTAAACATATAAATAATGGACACAATGAGGTGCAGACCTGTTGTTTAAGAGTGGGCACTGAGGAAAAACAAAGCGTCAGAATGAAGTAAACCAGATTGAAATTCTTATAGGCCATGAACTGTAATAAATAAACTGCGAGGCAATGGTAGGCAATCCCCCTAAATGAAACATTCCTTTGCTGACGCCAGAGTAATTGTCCAAATTTATTGCCCGACAAGTGCCAGGGGTTCTGGGCTCGACCAGGCTGACAGACTGCACAACACACAGGAACCATGTCTGCCTCAATTTAGCCTGTATGCTTTTCTTTCCATATAAGCCACAGTATCTGACAGGGCCCTCGCTTCCTTTGTTACGAACTCAGCATGTGTTTCAGGATAAAATTGACAGTCATTTCCTAACTAGCTTCCATGATAGATACAATGTGGTTTTGAGACATGCCATTATAACTACATCACTGAGTCTAAATATAATTGAGGCAACAGCTGCATCTGGTGAAGGGGGTGTGTATAATTTAATGTTTTAAAAAGATAGGTTGGAAACACATAGTTAATAGGCCCATAGACAAGTTAATTACCATGTGGATAGAAAAAGATAACAGACACAAACTAGATCTGATAATGTAGCCAGATTCACTATAGTGCATCAAGATTATGTGTATGATGACAGGTTCTATTTTAAAAAAAAAAAAAGTGTGGTTCTAGGTCATGGGGTCAATAGCAAGTGGTTTCTGTGTAACATGAGGACACACAGAGCAAATCGTGACTCGTGACTAAGGTATGAAACACACGCAACTCAAAATGAATTTTTGCAGGTGAATATTATACACACAATGTCATATTTATCAGTTACTACAAATATTATCAGTTTTTAAAATATAACATTAAGCTTAATACTGAAGGGTTGCAGTTTTTAAATTAGTGCAAAACTTCCAAGCCACCCCTCATTTCTTCATATTTGATGAATGACTGAATGCATGAAGCATAAGAAAGGCAACCCACTCAAGTGATGAACCAAGGTTGTGTCCACACAAAACAACTTGGCAAAGAATCTATTTTAAACTTTGCAATCTGACAGGCATAAAATAGTATTTTCCACCACTAATGTGATTCCCGGAGAGTATTAGATGAAAAAACTGATCCGAAACATGGTCTTCAGCTGATCCATCTACTGTCCACTGAAGCCTCATTAGAAATGTTCTGAGTGGAAGGGTGGCTTTCAAGAAACCATTACGGGGAAGGGAAACAGGAACAAAACGCTGAGTTATGCCAAATTACACAAGACCTGGACTGAAAAATTAGTGGTAACAGGTCTTGTTGAAGTGATGAAATATTTGGTTCAATATTTAAAGAGGAGGTCAGGAAGCAAAAGGCAGCCATGTGAAACAAGGTGGAGGCTCCTTCATGGTTTGGGTCTGCATTTCAGCCAGCAGTCTTGGAGAGCTTGTCAAAACTGAATGAATTATGAAGGCAGAGAATTACCATTCAATTTCAATCCACCATCCAGTACCATCTGGAAGCATTTAATTGGCAACAGCTTTATTTTACAGCATGACAATGATCCTAAACATACTGCCATAGTACTCAAAGAAAAACACAGTGGCACACTATCTGTCATGGATTGGCCTCCCCAGAGCCCAAACTTCAAAATTATTAAATCAATGTGGGATCAGCTTTACAGAGAACAGAACAAAAGGCAGCCAACATCCAAAGAAGAGTTTTGAATGTCCTTGAAGAACCCTGGAAAACTATTCATGAAGACTACTTATAAGGAAAGCTTGAATAAGAGAGTTCAGTCTGTATTTAAGAATAAAGGTGATCATAGCACATATTGGTTTTAAAGCTCATTAGAATTGTATAAAGTGTGCTTTTTAGCTTTATACACACTTTATTTCCACACATTTTGAACATGTTTCGATAAATTACTGCACCTGCTTCTCATTTACACGCTACAGCTGAGATTCCTAGTCTGGTCCTACAATCTTATGGACCAAATACACATGCACACGCTTCTTACTACTTACTATGCCCCTTTCATAACTGTTTTCACGCATTAGTAGTGCACTGATAGCTGAATATTCAAATGCATATGATATGTAGTGCAGTGATGTGATTTGCAGAACTATTCATAGATGATCACTACAGGTGCAGCTGTTCTGTGCAGCCGAGTGATTAAAGTAAAAAGTAATTCACTGTGGTCCTGTACCTGACTCACACATTACAGCAGTGCCTACGTCAAGCTATGGCAGTCATGTACAGAGGAGGAGGCAGGGCATATCTTCAAGGGGAAAAGGGCGTCACTGCCCTTTTGCCCCGAGTTAAATAACTCCAAAAAAGTTTCATGGCATTCCCTAATCCTGCCATTGAACACACATTTGGTAACCGCATTAACACTCTGCTGAGTGAAGTGTTGTGTCCAACTTCATTGGAAAGTAATGGGTGAATGGGACAATGCGACAGGTAGCCTACGACACTCGCCGAGCTCAGCCAAACTTTACCAATGTGATTTTATACAGAGAAGAAAGTTACTCACCCGAACAAGGTTACTAACGGCTGCCTGAACAGCAGCTACGGGCGCCGTCAGATCTGGGATACCTTTCCCATCAACTTCACCTTCTTCGTGCATTATCACCAGATGGGATATCTGCTGAGCCACCGGCTCCAGGATACTTTCTATCGTCTTCGTGTGAAAAACCGGCATGGTGACAACTTTAGAACACTATCTAAGTAAAAACTCTACCACCAAAGGCAGTTTTCTCCAAATCTCCCTCTACAGAAGCCTAAAACAATCCACGCACAATCTTTTCCCCCCCAGGATAGTCCTCCCGACTACAAGTACAATGAAAACATGAACGCGAAAAAACTCCCAGCCAGAGAGTGAGCGCGAGCAACCTAAACGTCAACCAACGGTTTCCGCCTTCTTCCCAATCAATGAACGAGAACGCACGCTTCCTAGATTGTGATTGGTTATTAGGGCTGCCGCTCCGTATCGGGACCGCCTTCTTCCATACTGACGAGTTTGCTAGAGATCCAAGTGCTCCCTAGATTACGTAATAGATCCTCATCATATGTCCTAAAAAGGGAAATATGTGTCTACTGTTTGAGAGGGGAGTGCGATTCCAGTAGCTGTGAATTAACTAGTCGGGCTTTCGGTCCCGCTGGCCCAGAAATCGGAGCTGTGGAGATCAGATTACAAACCCTTCCCAAAACAAACAGTATACTCCGCAGGGCACTCCGAAATTCTCCACAAAGTAAAGAAGCTGTAAATAAATGGTAACAAAGACACTATTTTCTAACCTACTTGTCAATGACTGACTGATATATAACAGCCTCTGTGAGTATACATCTCAGTTTAAATAAAGGACACCCTACACACTACTTTACCAATTTGCAGTGACCCATAGTATCTGGCTGAAAACTATTTTCCCTTATCAGAGATAACATCCGACATACTGAACTGTTTACAAACCCAGCTCTGTCAGTGGCTGGACATGGCACTTTTTTAAAATTCCTTCTCACCCTCACCCTCACATCCTGAAATAACAATATTTGAGGACTGAAAACCAACTGCCAAGCAAACCAGCTAAGGAATTCCCACAGATTCCCCAGAGGGGCTACAAGGCAGCAGCCCATTGCCTAAAAAGGAAGAGTCCAAAAAGAAAGAATCAAGGAAGTTACTCTGTTTGAACCACTGTGTAAACATACAAGGGATTGACATGCTTTCCCCCTGTGTAAGGAGTTGTCATACCAAATGTCAATAAAGAGATCCCAATTTGAACATTTGAACTTTATGTTTCGTGACACAACCTATTTTATTATTATTGTTATTATTATTCTATAATATGGTTGAATGTACAATTATTTAAAGAAATAATAATCAAAAGAGACCAAAAGGACCACCTCTGGAGGACTGCATCCTGAATATAGACTTCAAAGATGGCCTGCTGTTTCCTATGCTCTCCGATTACTAATAACGTCATCTTGTGCGTGCATGCTGGAATGTGCTCATGATGGGTGGTCTACCTTCTGCTGTCCTGCTACTCTATAGATACCTGAGCCCCGCTGCTGCATGGTGTTTAAGGGGATTGCAATCGTAAAGATCATAAATGTCCAGACTGCACATTGCAGGAAATATAGAGAGAGATCATTTTACTATATATGGATGTTTTATCAAAAATAACCCAAATAGTTGTAATTCTGATTTACTTTGACAATCCACTGGCTTCAGCATGGCCTTGCTCTTTGTTGTGGGATGCCTTTTTAATAATGCCTGGGCGCCATCTTCTGGCTCAGAGAATTAAATGCAGTCAGTGCATTGGAATTTAATATAACTCTTGAGCACTTAAACAGAATATAGCCATTGCAAAATACACCCGCATTACTATTTTATAGCAAGTCAAATGATCTCAGTATGTATATTTTCAATAAACAATAAATAATGAAGGCATACTTTAGTGCCACTTAGCAGAAAGTCCAAGGAAAAGCAATCCTTATTTTGTCCATAATTCAAAAACTTGCTTTTTGACCTATGCAAAGGTGAACTGATATCAACAGCAGCATCAAGACACAAGTTAAGTCTAAGAACACCTTTTCCCAAAATGTGGATGAATGAGAGTGAATGTGATGAACTGGTTGATATCTACATGTGTGTTTCTCAGCATGGAAATGTGAACCAATGAACACATGTAACTGCTTAAATAAAAAAATGCTTGATGATTCATATGTATGTCCTTGTATCAATGATCAATTTTGAATGCAATAAACTTCCAGACATTTCCTCCAAACCCACTATCATCTCCTTTTTTTCATCAGTGCTTCCTGTTTAAAGCTGACCTTAAAGCATGAAGACAAACATGACCTGCTAAACATAAACATGTTAGGAATGTGGGAATGGATATGTGGAGGTAACACATGTTGTAATTTTTGAAAAGACCACACGAGGGCACTAAAGTCTGCAAATGAATGAGAAATCGTGAGGTAGTTGTTGGAGAAAACTGTACAATGTCAGAGGGCAGAAGTTTTGGTATTTATAAGAATGCATCCATTAAAAAAAAAAAGATTTTGATGATTTTTTTTAAGTGAATCCTGGTTGATTGTTTGTTGACTTCTTGTGCTATGTGCTCGCAACAACAAATTTTTTTCTCATGCGATCTCCCTGGACCAAATTTCATATGAAGGATTTAAAAACACAAAATGTTATCAGTACAACTGAGTTTGTGTTCATATTTCTGAGTTAATGGTCAACCCTCTGATTTAGTGTGTTGTGTCATGAGCTAGAGAGACTCAGCAAGAAAGCGCTGCTTGAGGTGTGTGACTCAGAGCCATTGTCATGTCCCGAGAAAACGGTGCCATCAAAATGCAGAGGGGACTCACAAAATGATTGTCTGCTTATATTACTCCAATGAAACTCAAGTCTCACTTTACAATTGTTCCATTTTCATACATGTTATAATTCAGCCACGTGTATGCAGTCACGTTTATGCAGCTCGCATCAATGTGACACGGTTTGTTTTGTAGTTAAATCAGGTGGTTAATTGGTAGCAGAATAGTTGATTTTCTGTGCATGTTGGATAGACTGTATCTAAAAAACACATGCATCGTGTTTGTGGGTTATTAAGATACGTGGAGCATTCTGGATGCTGTTCTTCATGCCACTGCTACATCTATTGGAAAACTAAAGATATATATTTGGCATATTTCAATCCACATTTTGTCACATGTCATAATTTAGAACATGTGGAAATGTAGAAGCTTGACTAGATTTTAAAATAAACATTCTGGGTTTTTAAGCACTGCATTTCTAATACTTAAATGCAACACATTTACAAAGGATACACCATGCACAGCACAGCAAACAGCTTAACAGCTTAAACACCGAGCACCAAGGCTTATGACTGGCTATTATGTAAGCTACCATATGAACACAGCAGGTTTATGTGGTATGGAGGACTTGAACTATAAAGCAAATGAGCCATACATACATTCTTTAGCAGACTGGGGAGGTCAGGTAATATCACCTCACAGTACAAAGAGACAGTGAACTGAAACCATATTGTTTCCATGTAATTAGAATAGCTGTGCTACTGTTTTAGTGTTTTAGGCCATTGTGGGCCAATATTTGAATATTTGAAGTGTCTTTTTTTAAATATGCGCATAATAATGGATTACTTATATTCTTTTTATATATTCCAGTACTAGCCAGTAGTAGCTACACTTACAGTGTGACTGCACACACAGGGGGGATTCAGGGATAAGCTTGCAGCCCCATGTAAGGAGGAAGAGACAGTGAAAAAGACATTTGACCCAGCTGCACTGAGACAGCAAATATACAGTCACTAAAGACATGAACCCATCAGAATGTGATTTCAGGGCAGTTCTCTGGGTATGTGACATTTGGCCTGAACAAATAAATGGAAACACCTACATCTGCTGCAGGATGGTTTCCCAAAACAGTATTTAGTGTTTAATTCAAAGGATGTAAACAGAGTTATCCACAAACTGAAAGAAACATAAACCTTCATGATATATAGAATTATAATATAGTGACATGTTGTGACTAAAACAGTTTGGAGTTTCTCATCATGTAAAGATAATATGTTGAAAACTATGTTACAAATTAGTAACAGTAGCAACAGTGACAGTAGCATTTTTTCTGTTAAATTTTACAAAATTATTTATAAACAAATGAAAAAAATTGCAAACATAAATATATGTAACATATATTATATTGTTACATATAACACATGTGAGGTAAAATAACATGAAATTAAAGCTGCAAGCAGCGTTATGAGGGCCCTCGCACCCCATCGCGTCGAGCCACACCCAACACCTAAAACCAACACGTCCGATCTGATGTCACATTGATGGAATTCATGCATTTAACCACCAGCTAACATTTCATCTCATTCAATCATGATTATAGTCCTCCCACTAGGTGGCGCTGTAACCATTACTGACAAATGGCATAAATAACATTTCCGAGCTTGAGTCTCATCATCCCTGCGACCTTTGGGAGAGATTGGACATTGTGTTTTTGAGTGACAGCAGATTACTGCTTTTTGGCGAGTGATTGAAACTCCACGTGCCACCATGACCACCCCGTTTCCCGGAACGTAAAAAGCTTCGCAATTTAACATCACAAAGGTCTTTAGATTCCACACACTGGAGAATGCGTCAATCTGATGAAATCCCTTGGAGGAGTTCGTCAAAGAATGAGGCTTGAAAAGAGGGGAAAATGTCGCCAAAATTACACATTAATCTTAAAATGGCTGACTTCCTGTTGGATTTGGGATATTGCTCCAAGAGACTTTGTTGTACATCTTGACATCTTCTATAAGCTTACCAGGTTTCAGACTCATACATAAAACACAGAGCAGGGGCTGATGATTTGAAATATTGTAGGGGGCGCTGTGGAGCCATTTTGCACTATTCAATGAAAATGATCACATAACAACAAAGCCTTCATCACATTGGAGGTGTGGGCCAAATTTCAAGACTTTTCAAACTTTCCAAGCCCCTCAAAAGCCACTTCATTTTTCATGGTGAATCGCATTGCCACCAGGGTGCGCCGTTCAGTTTAAAGTCACAATTTTTGCACTGAAGCATCACGAGGGACTGATGGTGATATTCACCGCTTTTGAGGTGGCCACTATGAACCTGTGAAAATCAGTACAACAAAGTGAAAGACATGATATTTCCTGTTGCCACTAGGTGGCGTTCTGCGTATTCCTGACAATGGGCACATCAATCTGTGCAGGGCAGGTCTGACATCATGTCTGTAAAGTCTGGTACTGATCAGACTGGATTTCATTGAGTTATACTAATTTGTTTCTTCATGGCGAGACATCAAAGTTCGCCATGCTGCTGGGGTCACACCCTTTCGCGAAAACTCACAGTTTTCACTGTAACGCAAGACCAACTCCTT